GTGCATGGAGAAAGGCAGGTCCCCCCCACACACACACACACACACTACCTCAGTAAGTTTCAAAATCCTAGATGCGCGGTGGTTTCACAGTCCACCCACAAAACAATAGACAAGAGAGTTTTTTTTTAATTCATATATTATTTGTCTCTGGGATCATAATATTCAATTTCTAGAGTTTTTAGTTAAAAAAATGATAAAAATAATACTGCGCATGTCAAAGGGTTAAAAATGAATGTATGCTCATGTATATATGCATACACATATACATGCATATAAGAATATATACATAACGTTCTGTATCTGGTCCTGATAACGGAAGCATACCAATAGATATATGTGCCAATGTTGCCTATTGGCCATTGTTAAATTAAATGTGGTGTTCTGAGTTTTGTTATAAAGGCTCTTATTTTTGAAATAAATACAGTTAAAAAAGATATATAAGGGCATCATCGTATTTTATTCCTTTTTTTTTTTTTTTTTTTTTTTGAAAAACTAAGCTAAGAAATTTGTCTTATGTTTTAAAAATTGTTTAATACTGTCAAAATAATTTGATCATAAAATTATATTTTCCCATACAAAATATCAAGTTAACCCATGTATCTAATAAAAACTGGTGTGTGTTGGCCTATAATGGAAAAAATCTAAAATATTTTATTAGAAATAATAAGTATTCATTTACAATTTTTTTACATTTTACTGACCGGAAAACAACTGGTAAATTGTAATGAATGGTACTTTTTATGGTACAAAATCTCTTTTACAAAAAATATACAAAACTTACAATTACTAAGGATAATCATTTTTACAAAGATAATAGTATAGCTTAACTTTGTTTTAAAATTATCTCCTCTGATAACTCAAAGATGATATACTACACACACACACACACACACACACACAAAAAAAAAAAAAAAAAAAAAAAAAGACAGTTCTATATCTCCCGTTCTACTGGGGCGATTGACGAAATTCAAATTATGTTTTTCATGTCTCGAAAGTGTGACTTAGGATATATATTAGATTTATATATAGCATTGTTCTAACATTGGTATTTTTATACAAAATGGGACTTTTTTCTGAAATAACATACCAATTTTGTTTCCATATTTCGATTCTATAATTCAAATTCTTCCTAAATATTAAATTTTGTAAACTTTGGTGTGAAATTTACAGAGAAATTCACAAATTTATCTTGCTCTCAATTTTTCAGTTTGCACCAAGAATAATTCACTTTGAAACTTCTTAATATATGGCAACCTATTTTCCTTTCCCTTCCATTGTGAAGGACCGGAAAAAAAGTTCCAACTTTTACATTATGCATGAGCCAGCGAAAAAGTCACATCGTTCTCCTTTCAAATAATTTTAACAAAGTGCCTAAACCACATTTGATGTTCTTATCACTTTCAACAAATATGCCAAATTTCAAAATGCGCCAATATATCAATTCAGGTATATTTTTGGAATTTGAATTTTTATGCTTAAAAATACATCTACAATGATGGTAAAAATTTTATAGATTATGATTCAAAATTTTTTTCAAAAAATTTATAAAAACTACTTAAAAATACAAGTTTTAAAAATAAATCGGCAAATTTTATTTGGAATGAACATAATTTTCAAAATGTGAAAGGAAGAATAAAATAAGTTTAATACAAAAAAGAGATATTAATAAATATACACCAAACTAAATTAACATTGAGGAGCTAATTTTTGAAAAACAACTCATGCAATTTTTTACAAAACTTGGCAGTTTGGCGTAATTTGAGTCATAAAATTGAAATATGGAAAAAAAAATTGGCATGTCATTTCAGAAAAATGTCCGATTTTGTATCAAAATGCCTAGAACAATGCTATAATATACTGGTTATCATAAATTAAGGAAAAATCATGATTACCGAAAAAGTTACATAAAGAATTTAATGAAACTTACCCACAATATACAACACATAGTAAGGTATCAAATAATATAAAAAGAAATTACCAGACAACTATGGTAGTATAGAAATTAGCAAATGTATAAAATGAACAAATCAAAAGTCTCAGTTTGCTATAGGAAAAGTACCTTCAATATGGAATATGATCACCTCTAGAAGTAACACAGCACATACAGCAATGTGTGATGCTTTCAAATTATGCAGTCTATCAGTTCCATAGGAAGCGAGAGCCATTGCTCTTGCAAAGCAGTTGCAAGCACGACAAGGGTCTGAGGGGGTGGATTGAGAGCAGCTAGAAGTCTCCCTAAAGCATCCCAAACATGCTCAATAGGATTCAAGTCCGGGGATCGAGCTGACCACTCCATGTGCATAATTGTTTCCTGTTGAAGATAATCATCTACGATGCGAGCCCTGTGTGGTCTTGCGTTGTCGTCCTGTAACAGGAAAGCATCACCTATTGCCCCGGCATATGGGCGCACATAAACATCAAGGATGTCATCTCTATAAATCCAAGCATTCACGTTTCCCCTTGCAAAGTTATGGAGATCTGTGCGTCAACCCAAAGAGATGTCACCCCAAACACAGACACTGCCCCTTCCGTATGCATCTCTTTCAAGGATGTTTGACGGATGATAACGGGTTCTAGGTTCTCTCCATATCAAATAATGCTTACTATTTCTTTTGAGACCTGGACTCATCCATAAAGAGAACCACCCTCCATTGATCAGGCGTCCAGTGGACATGTTGTCGTGCCCACTGAAAACGATCCCTCCTATGCTGTGACGTGAGCGGCACACAAATGGCTGGTCGCCTCGCATACAGACCACCTTCGCGAAGCCTCTCGCACAGCCGACATTGACACAACCTCCGGTGCTGCCAGCAAGGGAGGATCTAAGAAGAGTCGGAGTGCGGTTATTCCGCGTGCACATAATGTCAAATATCGTCATTGGAGCTCGTCGTAGCAGTTGGCCATCCTTTGGCTGAACCTCCTAGATGCCAATCTGTGATTTGAAATTGCCTCCCAAGTGTATGAACCACAGAAGGACTCGCATTTAGCCATCTGGCTACTTCTGTTTGACTTTGTCCTGCCTCTAGTCTCCCAATGGCTCTCCATCACAGTTCTACAGATAAATGATGCCTGAAGGTCATTGTTACGAATTGGCTATCTCAGATTTCTGATGTCACTGTCACAGTAAAATATGTGGACTTGCTTTCAAACACATTTCAAACGTCTCATCGCAGATGACGTATTGCGAAAGCAGTGCCACTAATTTGCATATCGCAGTTTTACTCAGCTACTCTTACTTGGCAACATATTCAAATTTTACACGGTTTGGCTTATTTTTTAGGGAGTTATTGCTAATTTTGTGATTTTTCCTTAACTTATGATAACCAGTGTATATAAATCTAATACATATCCTAAATCGCGCTTTCGAGACATGAAAAACATAAGTTGAATTTTGTCAATCGGCCCAGTATAATGGGAGATATAGAACTATCCCTTTCTCCCCCCCCAAGTGTACATAAACTAACTAATAACTAAACATGCTATAATTACATCCATAATTTTCATCACTTAAAGGGTAGGTAGTAATGTTATAATCATAAATAGTATGATAAAATGAAACAACATGTACACAGACCAGAAAAGGACACTTTGAATTTCAAACAAAACTCTTTCAGTTAATATGGAAAACATACAAATTTGAAATTTAAAATTGAAGAATATTTAGTTAACTTAGAGTAGCAAAACTGCTCCTTGAAGAAGAGAAATTCACATCATTCTTTCTCAAAATGCATACAACTTTTTTATAAAGCAAACATAGATCTATGTATTAATATTTAAATCCTTTCAACTGTTATATCTCAAAACACAGAATCACTGGAATATAAAATATTGGAAGCCAAAATTTAATGTAACATTTAACTACCCCAAAAAAATTTAATACGAACTACAAAAGATTTTTACATTAAGATATTATATACTTGATACTTAATGTCTTCATGTTCAGTGTATATACAAAGTGCTTGGAAAATATATGGAATGTGTTTGACAAAATGGCGCATCGAGATTTTACAAGATGCTGCTGAACCGAGAACAAAAACTTTCAGCTGCTATAAATCATTATCCTTTACGTGGATTATAAATGTTATGCATCGCTATATGAACACGTAGCTCACCGACATGAATTTGATATATCATGCTGTGATAAAACACAGCAGCTACTAAAATGGTACAATAAAATGATTCCCTCCATTTCAATCTGCAGTCCTACACGTAAAATGTGTGTAAGCAAACTACTCTTTTGTCTAATAATGTACAACACTTGAAATCTTAATGATAATTCACCCCAGCTTTTATCTCTCACTCAATGGTGTTCTGTACTACCTTAATGCATCATTTGTTTTACAGACATTTGTTTCAAGTATTTGATACACACATTCCATTACATTTCTGCCACGTTTTCCAAGCACCTTAACTATTTATAAAAAAGAACATTATTTTAGCTTTAATTAATTATCAATAATTGTTAAAAGCTATTGATACATAAAAATTTAAATTTTTAAATTTAAGAACAATCAGCTGCAGTTAATTTTACATTACGTTCATTATGTGAAAATGCAATGAATAAACAATAAGAATATAAGCTTTATAAATAGTGATGAATAAAGGTGCTTAAATTATAAATATGAAATATGCACACTCAATACTTGCACATCTAAATTAAAACAAGCAGGGGAAGAGAACAACTTCTCATAAGTTCTTATTATACCTTCAAGTTATCCCCAAACAGAAATCACTATAAAATAATATAAAAGGCAGCAAAATACTTACACTTAATATCATGCAAAATATTAATAAATGAAATGCTGCAAAAACTTTTATTAAAATTGTAAAATGAAAGAAAGATTAAAAACAACAAAGTGCAAAGCATTTACTACATAAAAGCTATCTCAGAAGTCTTGCTGTATGCAGATATGAAAATGAGAACAACAGATACCTATTTCAAGTGTTAGCAGGGTTAATAAAAGCCATCAAACAATGGAAGTGTTAGTTAGTTATCATACCTTGTAATACTCATAGAAGGTTAGTTTCACAAAAATGCATGTGGGTTAGAACGTGGATCTTTCTGGTTACGATATCGAACTGTCAACCATACCCCAATAAACTGAAAATAGAGATTAAGGATATAAATTTGTATGATGATAAAGGCCTACTACAAATAAGTACTACACATCTGTAATATAATAGAAAAACTCAGAATACTCATTCTAATACTCTCTGATAGGCAAAAGTGTACACCTAAAAACAAAACAAATAATAATTAAAAGTACCATTATTTGTTTTAAGAAATTTCACTTAAGGTAACCAAGCTTCAAATATACTGTTTCCTCTGAATTAATGCTGGAAAAATGTGGCTGAAAATACTGAGGGCTATATGCAGCTTTTAATTATTACTGCAATATTTCTGGTTATTGAACATTATGCACAAATTAATTTTCTCTTAGCATCTACATACAATACGGATGTGATTTTTAAGTCAATTTGATGACAAAAACCACCAAAATGAAACTTCTACAGCTCTATATACCGCCTGCCTCATATATAAATTTTATACACTTCATAGACTTTCAAAATATATCTAAAAATTATTGTTTTATAATCTTTATTATTCATATTTATGACATCATCTATTGTAACTAAAGTTGTTAGCTAGTACATGAATACAGAACTTCTTATAAATCAGGATACACTGAGAACGATGTTTTAGTAAAATAATTTGGTAATTCTATTGAGAACTTCAGGTTTAATCCAGATGTACAAGCTTAAGCTTTCTATATAGATGAGCCACTAATACATTTTGCCCAGTATATCAGGATGATATGAGAAAATTGTGCTGAAGAGTCAGTAGACTATACTGTACTGGATGGGAAAAGGTACTAAAAGCATTGTGATTTTGAAAGCACTGTAGCACTTAAGGATGTTAAAGTCTATATGAAAATGCTGAAAGCACAACAATGAGGTAATGAGGACAGCAATTTCAAAGCAATAAATTACATCATGGTCTTTAACAACAAAACGGAGTGGCTCCGATAAGCAACTAGAATGAATAAACTGTTGTGGTGCCATCTATATTGAATAGTATCATTAGCCACTTCAGCAACAGAACCCACATTGAGAATCATTTACTATAAGCTCATATACAAGTCATCATGCCAGAAATATACTTTAGGTTTGAAGCTAAATCAGGAAGGCATGTTTTCTGCATAAACATATCAATATATATATATATATATATGTATGTATGTATTTTTAGAACAGGTTATAATGCAGCATAAATATATATATTCTATTATATTAGTTAATATGTAAGCTGTAAATAACTATAAATAAAAAAAAAATTGGTCATCATAATAAATCATGAAACAGGAATATTAAAACAGTGTTAAAAGTTAGATATTAAATTATTTACTGATAAATTTTCAAAAGATTATCAAAATATTTTTTGACAACTGTATCTTTTAAATCTTTCAATATAAACTCTGCTTGGGAAATCAAAATACGTAATAGTTCTAAAATCACTTTTGAAATGATTTCAAATATACTTTCAGAATTTCTCTGAAAAATTAGTCAACATATAAAAATACTAAAAAACAAATAATTCAGGAAAATCAAAGACAAATTAAATATAAATATGTCACATCATTTCTAAATCTCTTCTTAGTTTGGTAATTAAAATGCTGAACACAAAAAAAGCTCACACAATGAGAGACAGCTAATTTCAACTCAAAATAAAATGGAGATTAATTTATGTCAGTTTCTTTTTTAATTTAATATTAAATTAGTGATATCCTTTTTTATCAATTCTATATTCTGAATTTTTCAAGTAAATGCATCCCATAAAATTATGCATTCATTTACTTTCAAGAATCTAAATACACCTCAAAACCTCAAATTAAGTTAAAATGCGGCATAGAGGAAAATAAAAATCTTGTCAGATTAAAGAAATCACCATGATTTTTATTTAAGTATCAATTGTTATGTACACTACAAATAAATATAAGCTAGCAGGATAATATTTAAAATTTACCATACTGAAAATTATGAGTAAAATAATAAAAAATACATAATTTTAATTATTTTTAAATAGTTAATAAACTTTGCCTATAAAGAAATCAAATAACATCTTTATAAATAAAAACTTACTTCTGTAAAGCTGAAAAACAAGCCAATACCACCACTGATTTTTAGTGCATTACTGATAACACTTTGGAGTTTCTTCCAACATGTTTGCTCACTCTGCTCACACTTTTGAGGAAATTCCTGACAAAATGGAACCTTAAAGAATAAAAAGACTCACTATTTTTTATTCAATATTTATTTTCATTGCTTGCAATCAAGTATTTATAATGACAGACAGGAGTATGACAAAAAATGACATTGCAGTAAGAGGGGGGAAATCCCACACACATGCACAAAAATTCCTTTTATTTCCAAATATGCTTTCTTGTAATCAAAATGATATATGCTAAGAAACATTATAGTTAAAAAGTTATTATAAAAATAAAATACACAATTTTTCAATAAGCAACAAAATTATTTTTTACTCTCTTGAACACATGTCCATTTTTATTTAAAAGCAGTGAAAATAACTTTCATTTCACAAAATACAAACTTATTTCTGTTGAACTAAAATTAAAAGAAGAGATTATATTTTACATAAGTACTGTAAAATATAAGGGTCTATTACAAGACAACAGGCACAGTGGCGTGCGTAGTGAGTTTATCTGGTGCTAGGAACACGATACCTTTTTGGCAACCCCTCCAAAAATATATACAGTCAAAAGTCATTAATTCGGACACCCATAATCCGGAATGATCTATAATCCGGACCTCAAAGCTACAAAATTTCTGCGCATGCGTCGCGTAAGACCTTTACGGCTGCGAATTTGCGTGTGCACGTGTGCAAAATACGTTTACGAATGCGCGTTTAATGTATAATGAACGGAATAAGCTAAGCTAAAATTATCTAATTATCTATTTCAGTTAATGTTGCAGATTGCGTTGTTCCTTAATCTTCGAATTGGATCCGGCTTATTATTTTTTGCAGACTGTTAGAGCAATTTTATAAAAGTAAGCTTGAACTTTCGATTATTTCAAATAGAATTTCCGATATATATTTACTAATATGTAAAGGATATACAAAGCGAAAGTATCTTTCGGAGTCCATTAAACAAAAAGTGGAATTGCTGCAAAAAATGGATAAAGGCATATCCTTTGTTTATCTAAACTTTAACGTTTGTTTATCTAAACTTTGTTTATCTTTAACACCGCAGAGCACAAAGAATTGGAAGTTGATCTGTCAACACTATCCTTATCTTAAGGGCAGATGTTTTTATTTTATTTGGTTTATAATTGCTTACTAAATGTGGTATTTCCTCTCGATGTCCGTCTTTGATATGATTTAAATCAAATGCCTCGTCATTATAATTCGCTTCCGATAGCAAAGAAAGTGACAGAGGTTATTGAAAACGAAAAAATTTCGATTGACAAATTAGTCGGTATTCTCGACACAGCAATTATAGGAATTAAACAGCGGAACTTTGTAACTGAACAAGAAATTATGTCTGTTTATGGAATTGAAGAGAATGTATTATCACATAAAAAACGAAGCAACTTAAACAACTTACATTGAAAGAAATGTTTAATAAAGTAAACAAATAAATATTAAGCTTTTTTTTTTTTTTTTTTTTTTTTTTTTTGTAAATTTTGATACCTTTTAGATCATAATTGTTCTTTATTTTGTAAATTACGGTTTCATATTTTTAATTTTATAATTTCTGCATGCCTTTTTACCAGATTTAAACTGATGATCTATAATCCGGAATCGCTGAAGTCCCGACGAGTCCGGATTAACGACTTTTGACTGTAGTAATATAATATATAGAATATACTCGTAATAAGAATATAATAAAAAAAATCCAAAAACTTTCAGACTTTATATTATGCCCAAAGGAGAGTTTTCTAGTATTTTGTGCATTACCTTATTAAATATCATGTTCTTCGGACTTAACCATAAAATGCAATTCAACAGCAATATCGCAATGAGCATATCTTTAGAATTTCCGATACACGGTCTCGTACGCAGGAGATAAAAATGCTCCCCCCTTCTCTATGCATTCTTCTTTTTATATTAAAAGTTCAAACTTTCTTTTATAAAAAAAAAGTGATATTTTTTGCATTCAATTTTAAAATATGCACTTGTAGAATTTGCCAACGATGGAAGAAACCGCTGTAAAATTTCTGCAGGAATACAATATCTTGCTGCAAAATCACTGAAGGCAATAATTGTTTTGAATCTGTTACTAAAACACCACTAAATTTCCACCAGAACAAAAGTACCCAGCTTGTAAGTAGACTTATTTTTTTATTTTTAGATAAATACCTAATTAGAATATAAAATATATATGTAATAATACTTATGCATGTAATAAGTAAATATTTTACAATTTCAAAAGTCATCATTCTTTTTCATCAGTAAAAAATCGCCAGTGGTTGCATTAATATGCAAGTACCAAAATAAATAACCTAAGATATATATTTTTTTATGCATAGAATATTACATCACAGTCAAAATCAGTTAAAAATAAAAACATATTTCCTCGCTGGAAATATCAAGTTGGCAAGTCTTCTCTAGATATATATATTATGACTTTCTTCGAGAAACTGATGGTTGGGATCTTCATAGGAAAGAAATTGTAAACTTTCTATTAAGCTCTGATATGCTAATAAAATTATTAAAAGAATAGGAAAAGTCAAACAGGAAAAATAAAAAAAAGAATAAAAAGAAATCTGTTTTGATCATCTGCATTAACTTAATGAAATCTTAAAAACAGCTTCATTTTATTTAATCCAAGATGAACAAGTAAACTGTTTAAATGGAGTTCTTCCTTTCTGAAATTTTTATACAGTATAAAGTGCGTGATCCGGACGTCCATTATCCGAAATGATCTATAATGTGGACCTCAAAGCCACAAACATTTTTTGTATCCTTTACGCATGCGTTTGGGAGTATGTGTCTCCAGATAAGTTTAAAAATGTTTGGCATAATTTACAGCCAGCTACCATATTTCATGGTGAGGACTATGAAGATGATAGCTGTTAATTTGAAGGTTTTTGAACATTGCAAACTAAAGGTGAAATTTTCCAGTTATTGGATTTTGTAAAGAAATGTGGAGAAGCGGTAATAAATGATGATATAACAGTAGTTTTTCATTACGACAACAATGCCCCAATCATCAACCAATAAACAGACGGAGAAATCTGTAGTATGGTTCTAGATCCAGAAACTACCACTTCCGATAATGAAGAAAGTGACAGAGAGGTTATTGAAAATGAAAAAATTTCGATTGACCAGTTAGTCATTCTTGACACACTGAACAAGAAATCATATCTGTTTACAGAATTAAAGAGAAAATATTAGCACAAAAAAATGAAGCAACTTAAACAACTTGCATTGAAAGAAATGTTTAATAAAGTAAACAAATACATATTAAGCTCTTTTTTTTTTTTTTTGATACCCTTTAGATCATAATAGCTCTTTATTTCATAAATTATGGTTTCATATTTTTAATTGTGTAATTTCTGCATGCCATCTTACCAGATTTAAATTGAGGATCTATAATCCGGAAAAACCCTAATCCGGATTACGGACTTTGTACTGTAACTGAAGTTATGCTCTATAAAAAAATTTCTTTACTTGATTAGATGGCATTTATGTATTACTGCTTAGTAAAAAATAGTAGTCATATTAGTAAAAATTGTGAAAGTTTCAAAATGTGCCAAATTCTGGCAACCACATGCATAACAATTCTTTTGGGAAAAATATGCACAAAATTCTTCAGTTTTAACATCTGACGTTGCCATATTCATATGCATTTTTTCATTACATTCTAAATTCAATGGTTTTATAGATAAATCTTAAATTCAGTTTTAAAATATATGTTTATGGGATTTGTCATTATTGGAAGGACCTGCAGTAAAATTTTTGCATATTTTGCTGCGCAGTCACTAAGAAAACAAATGTTTGAGTCTCTTTTTAAAACAGCTGCCACGAAATTTCCACTACAACATAAGAAATAAAAGCCTATGTGTAAGAAAGTTTATTGATTATTTTTTAATACATATCTAGTTATGATGTCTAATAATATGTTTGTATGGAGAAAATATTTTTTTCTCATTCTTTTCTCTCTGTAAAATTTGCAAAATGCACCAAGGTTAAGGCACTAATACGTAAATACGGACTAAATTTTGAAATGCTTACCAAAAAGCAAAAACTGAAGTCATACATTTTTAAGCTGAGCAATGGTTTAATAATTTAAATTAATGTGTATATCCTAAATTCCCAAAAGCAGTACAAATAGGAGCCAATTTTCTTTAGAAAGTCCTAACTGGATAATAAAGATCTTATTATGCAAATAATCTTCGTGTACTTTGTCATAACTAATTAGTTTTGGTACTATTCCGTTTTGAGGACCATAAAAAATCACCAAATTATTGTTGATGCCAGTGCTGCCAAAAATAATTGCAGCAACCCTAATGCAAGACAGGAAGTAAAATAGTAAATAACTATATAAGATTATTGTTTTAATTTAGATAAAAGGTTAATTTCATGTAATATTTTTTATTATTATAATTTATATAAAAAAGGCACACTTGCCAACCTATGACACTCAAAAATCAGGAGATTTTTTTTAAGAAATCGGGAGATTTTTCACAATGTTAAAAAGACTTTTTAAATAAGGAAAATATAGTTTTTAATAATGAATTAACTTTAAATAGTAACTAATTCTTAAATGCAAACAACACAAAAATACCTTACACATAAAAAACATTTTTATTACTTGCATCGTTTAACAAAACAAAACAAAAAAACCTTTAATCAGTTTTTGTACAAATGGTATAAACAGTGGCAGATTTTGCTTTCTTTAAGAAAGAAACTTTATAATTTTGTTCATAGCAATTGCCACGTAGGCCTGCTTTCACTAATAAAAGTTTTCTAATGTGTCATCACTAATCTAAATTTAGTCCTCGTTTTCGCAACAACACTGAAAATCCTCTCACACTCTGCATTACTATGGGGAACTGTCAAGATGGCCAACATAATTCTAGACAGTTCTCTATAGTTTAAAATTCCATCAGCATCTTTCAGTTTTCCAATTAAACTCCACTGGGTGTCAATCCTAGTTGATTTTATAACTTCATCCAAGTTTTCTAATTGTAAACTGCTATTATGCAGCTGTTGGACCTGTTCAATTTTTTTTCCTCCTTTTTAGAAC